TTTTTTTCATAAGATGCAGATAGCTCATTCTAACCGAAAGCTCTGACGAAGGGTCTGAGCCTAAGTTCCTCTCCAAATGCCTTTCCCAATGCCCTACATGTTTAGAAATTATTATTTCTTCCCCAAGGGTTCTAATCGTAAACAAACAGGTGGATTTTTTTGACTGTGTGTCTAATTACGCAAATTCTATCGGATTCAAAATGTTGTTATAATTCTTATTTATTATGTCGAATCCACAATTACGTTTTATTCAGTTTTACTTATTCAGTCAGGAGTCGATAAAAAATAGTTGACTTGTTTAGATTGAATAAATCAAAAAGCGCAATTATGACAGATGCTGATTTAGAAGCGATAAGAAGCCGTCGAATGGCTCAACTGCAGGTTTGATAGATTCTATCTAGTTGTACTGATTATTCTGTTTCATTCATGCTGTCAGTCGTCATCAGGGGATAACATGTCTGCTGTGTTGATGAAGAATGTAACCGTTCTCATTGAAGGGCAACAATATGGGTGATAATGGATCTGATCCGAAGGCTGAACAGGCTCGTAGGGAACAACAAGAAACCATGAAAAATAGCATTTTACATCAGGTTGTCTTACATTTTGTCTTGGACAATGAAGGCGTTTGGTAGATTATCTAATGAAGAATATTAATCATTACATATTAATTATTATCAGCCAAATTATTGATTATATTAATCAACTATTTGTGTTAATCGAAATATTTATTAATCCTTTGCCGTAGCGACGAAAGGCCTCGTTTGATCTGATACCTCAATTGCATTCTCAACTGGGTGGTTACCCATTAATCTTTGTAGAATCTCCATTTGAGGTTCTTGATCAGAGTGCAATGGCACGTTTGAGTAATTTGTTGGCTGCGAAACCCGAGAAGGGTGCGATGATCGAGAATACAATTATACAGATGGCGAGGTTGTAACTTTTTTGTCTTTTTTTTTTCATTTCTTCCTCAATCCGTGCAGTAACAATTGAATATNTTTTTTTTGTATCATTCCAACATTTTCGCTTCGTCAGTCGCATTTTCGTCTACTTAAAATTTCAGAACTGGTCAAATCGTTGGCAAAATGAACGACGAGACTTTAAAACAGCTGCTCGATCGTATCTCCGAAAAAACACACAAAACCACCACTGTTAAGGTGATTCGCGTGTTTATCAGTTTTCATTCATTACTTAACTGATAAATTCATTTCCTTCTCGATAAAAATCAGCTTCTCCCTAAGTTACTGTTTGCAGCAGTTTTTTTAAAATGCATCCTATTCACACACTGGTTTTATTATCTCACTGTTAGTTTATATTATTGTTTGAATGTGATCAATTTCTTAGTGAGTCTATTTGAATAAGGAGAAGTGACCGTTTGAATAGTAGCTGAATGAGCATTTCAACAAATAAGTGAATTTGGATGAAATGTATGATTTCATATCAATCACGTGTTGGTTTCAGTTTGACCGTCGCCGTGCTGCGATTGATTCAGATTCCGACTGATTGTTGACAGTGCTCTTCTAAACGGGTTCCCTCTCGTACCGCTCTAGTTTCATCAGCTAGTTTCTGCCCAGTTCTGCATCTTCATTACGCATGTAGTTTCATTGTACTTATCGAGATTCATCAGAATTTGCGCTACCATTTCTACGAATTTTGTAAAAATTCTTTTCCTTCTTTTCATCTTTTTTTTCACATTCGCCAAAGAATATAACGAAGAAAAAATTTCATTTCGATGCGTTGTGGAATTGAAGCCCCTCAGACATGACCAGCATCGGTATCTATTTTGGTGTTGCAATTTTTATGCCCAAATGCGCCCTGTTCCTGTCCGGAGACAATCTCATACTCATCTTCAGGTCTAAGCTTTTTAGAGTGGCACTGCCTTTTAAGATTATTTAAGATTATGTGCTTTAAAAGAGTGAGAAATACCGTTTCNGTTTTAAGATGTCGCTTTTGTTTTTGTTTGAAATCATTTCTTTAATAATTCACGTTGATTGTGTGAAACGTAGAGTTGCCAACTTTTGCATTGGAATCTGATTCGACAACAATAAGTTTGATTCATGATTAAAATGCAACGATTGAATACATTTGTTAGTTTGTTGATTCATAAATGAATTCATAAACTTTTTATTGTTTCGCATAGTTTTGCTGGACGCTTTGCTTCATAACGATTGATTGACTGAGTCGTTTGTAAATTTACTTCTCGAGAGCGACAACAGTTAATGTTTCATATTGCTTGCTCTTGTTTATGTCAGTATTTTTTCAAGTTTTATCGAAGAAATAAATTGGTCAAAAAAGAGATGATGATTAACATTATTGTATTGTATCAATGATATAATCTTATCAATGATATAATCAATGATATAATCTTTTGCTTAATTTAAGGAAGCTGTTATTTTATATTCTTTGTGTTAACGTATCAGTAAATTTGTTGTAAAATTTCATTGTTTACTTCTATGCCTTCTCTTTTTGGAATTTATTTGAAGTGATAATGCAGTTAGTGTTATTCGTTTTTGAAGACGTCATCTTCGCAAATTTTATGATATTTTGTAATTGATTTCGCATTAATTGTGAGGTTGCTGTGTTTTTTTTTTCGTAAGAAGAGTGGACTTTTTGTGTATACATTTCACAATGTCAGTGATGTTGTCATGAAATGATGATTTGTTTTTGTTTTTGAGAATAAGCTT